CCATTTGTCAAAGAGGCAGAAAAAACAAGAGTTAACGCCGCTAGCCGCCTCCATTGCAGGAGCTTGGACTGCGTCACACACATGCTGTTACCATTTGACACCTCTTGCTCTCGGATTCATAGGGTCCTCTAGCCGACAGTGCCATACCGGGAAGGCAGGCCCGAGAGGCGCACGTGGCCTGCCCCAGCTCCCAAAGCAGAGTCCCAGAGAACACAGCTCTTTGGAGTCCCCCTCCCGTGCTCCAGACACCAGCCCCAACAGATCAGAGCATTCTGATCCTTTCCTATCTATACGTGTCAGAAAACGAGAGAGAAGCTGTGAGAGAACTCCCCGCTTTGGAGTGGAGGCACAAGTGCGTTTGTGTAGCAGACGCTGCAGCCAAAATCCCCCATCCGGAGGGTGAACAATTCCCCCTGTAGTGGCACGCCGGAACCAGTGCATGTCACTGGACAATGGAGATCTCAAAGCTTTATTCTGCATGGGACTCCTATCAGCCTTTGGAGAAGACAGTTGCTGAATGCATACGCCCCTGTGGATAACACAGAGGTTCTTCAGTGTGCATTTGGGTAGGCAACCCCATCCATTTTACAATACACCACTTGGCCCACTGCAAGGATCATTCTGAATTTCCTCTTTATAAAGGTCAACTCCCTAATTCTATTCCACCTGTGGGTGGAGCTGGCAGTTCATTTCCAGTTTCCTTTGTGCCTTTCATCACTGTCCATTGAAAAGATTTTTCTGTTTCAGGTTTAATCAATTGCCTTTTCAAATGCCTGGAAAGGAAAATCAGGATGAGCTTTAGGGATTTTTTGGTCCCCCCTGTGAAGAAAGAAATGTAAACTCGTAAATCTAAAAATGTATTAGAATTCTAATTCCAAACCACACAAGAAATCAAACACAGTCCTTATGTCAATAGAGTCCATCTAGCAATGTTCCGCATTGTTAGCAGAGACAGAGAGCAGAGATAATCTCTCTGTGAATGTGTTACTCATCACAGCGACTACTTCGCTCATCATAATTAGCCTGTGTTCATCTTTCCAGATGAACATCTCATTCCCTGCTAAGCGCCTGGGAGCTTCTCTCTCTGGCACTGCAGAAGTGCTAAGGAGCTGATCAGGAGGCTGGGATAGAGTTGCTACAGCAAAATTCTGCAGATCTCTAACACATTTTTCCGTAGCTCTTCAGCCGTGCCACCTCGTGTGGTGAGGCTACCAGTTCCCCAAAGCTAAGGACTGAAATGCTTTGGTCTAATTAAAGTCTTTGGGCTCAGTGTTAGGGGTATATAGGTGAAAATTAATATCCTGTGATATACAGGAGGTCAGGCTAGATGATCTAATGGTCGCTTCTGGTCTTAAACTATGAAGCTATAAAAACAGTATTGGTAATTCAGCAGCTGGTGTTCTCTTCTCTGGCTCTGCCTCCGTAGCTCCCCTGCAGTTTCAATTAGATAGAGTATTGAATGGAAGATATTCCCGGAAGTGAATGACTGGTGTGTTGTGTTGCTATGTGCTATGTACAAGAATCCCTGTTGTACAAATGATATACAGGGATCCCCACCCTCCATGATTTGCAGCTACCTATGGGATGAAATTCACCAGCTATTTATGAATTTTCTAACAGGTGTTCGCTCATAACATCACCTTGGGATCTGGACCCAAATTTTTTGGCTGGGTCCATGTCTGCATTGTAAATTTCTTCAGTATTATTGAGGGTGGATGGCGTTATATAAACATACGGCCATTATCATTTTTGACCTCATGGGCAAGGTTTCCACTGAAGTCAACTGTGGCTCAACATGTGGAGTTAGCATGGGAGTAGAAGCCAGGAACTACTGAATCCTGATCCCACCCCTGCTACTTATTTGTTGTGCAACCTTGGACAGGTCTGGAAAATGGTTAGAAAATGGCATTAAATTTTCATGAAAAAAACGTGACTCTCCATCCCCACCAAAAAAGAAAAAAAAATCTGAATTTCATTTTTTTAAACCAGCTCTGCCTGTTGCCTCATCTGCAAAATGGGGATAATGTTTATGGATAATTATTACTCTTTGTTATTTGTATTGCAGTAGCTCTAGGAGTGTCAGTCATGGACCAGCACCCCAATGTGCTAGATGCTGTACAAACAGACAGTCCCTTTCCTACAGAGCTATAGTTAGTGTCTGCAGAGTGCCGGGAAGCTGTAAAGGGTTAGACACACTCTAGGTCCTGTCACTTGCTAGAGATCCATTGTGAAGACTGGTAAGAAGAACAGGTCTCATTGTCGGAAAATAAACCTTTTACTTACCCTCCAAACACCCTGGGCCTAGTTACGTCTTTTGATGTCAGTGGAGTTACTCCTGATTGACACAAGGGTAAGAAGAATCAGCTGCTTCGCCAGCTCAGATGTTCTGGAGAGAACAAATATTCTGCCTGCTAAGCAGAGTTTACTTTGACAACTGCTCTACGTGTAATTAGGGTATTACATGCTAAACCCAGGTAATCATTTCTAAATGCTGCAGAGAACCCAGGAGGGCTGCAAACTGCAGCAATGCTGGAACATCGGGGTTAATGGATTCTGGATACTGTCGTTTGATAATTAATCTCTGCTTTGAATGTTTGATTGAAATGTCAGTGGATTAGAGGCAGGCTGCTCTTTTTGAAGGACACTTTAAGGAAAACACCATTCCATCCATCCTAGGAAGCTATTGGGCACTGAGGCCTGCCCAGAGAGCTGGTGCAGTCCTGGGGGCTGGAGATTTCTCAAGGCACAAATGGCAGTGAGGTACCTAACTCACAATGGGAACTGGGCACTGAACCGCTGTTTGTGCCCATAGGCAGAGCCCGTCTCAGGCTGGTCTCTGGGACACAGATGGTCAGTGGCATGCAAAGGAAATGTAGCCCATCAGGATAATATTGAGAGCGCTTCTAGGTACTGGAAAAAACTCCACAGCAAACTCCAGCCACATGGCACCAGCCACAATGGAGCAGGCTGCTCTCCAAGCTCCCAATTTATGAGCTTTGAAATGATAAACAGCAGAGCATGGCCATAATAGCTCATTTATGTGCTGCATTAAGCACCCCTGAGGACCCCTTCAGACAACCAAAACAAGGCTGCCTCTGTGTCCCATAAATATGGATGAGTGGCATGCAAAATGGAAGCAAAGCCATTAGAAAATGGCTCAATTAAGGATACTAATCAAAAGGCGAGGGAGGGCTAATGGGGACTAGTGCCTCCAAGAGAGACCTTCCTGTTGCATGGAAGGCCCACAAGCTTATTTATGGCCCATTGTCCAATGGGAGGGACGCAGACACTTTGCCTGTGCATATTCTGAAGTGGCCCCAGACTGTGTATCTCATCAAACAAAGACTGTATGAAATTAATAATGCATGCAAATGTATGCAAATGCTGCTGCTTTTAAAGATAGGAATGTGTTTTAAACATGAAGATTAGCGGCATGTTAATTTTGTAAACAGACACATTGCCAGGTCCATAGCAACAGGCTTCCCAGTGTTTTGCTATACAGACGGTTTGGGGGATTACTTGCAGAGGGTTCAGCGAGAGAAGGTGAAAGTGATTGAAGCTATGGGGCGATCTGTGTCCCGAGAGAGTGGGACTGGTTAGAGGTGATATGAAAAAGGCAGCACAGAGAAGATAAATCAGGTGCTCCCACTACCCTTCATCACAACTAGGGCACAGTCAGTGAATGGAAAGGCAACAGGCTTTACAGTGACAAAAGCAAATACTTAAAAAACAAAAACGAGGAGTCCGGTGGCACCTTAAAGGCTAACAGATTTATTTGGGCAGAAGCTTTCGTGGGTAAAAAACCCACTTCTTCTTGCATCTTCATGCATATTTACCCAAATAAATCTGTTAGTCTTTAAAGCGCCACCGGGCTCCTCATTGTTTTTGTGCATACAGACTAACACGGCTACCCCGCTGACACTTAAAAAACAAACAAACAAACCCAAAACACATAATTGGCCTGGGGAACTCATTGCCACAGCACGTCATTGGGGCCAAGAGATTAATGTGATTCAAAAGAGGCTTACACGTGAGAACACCCACAGCTACTTTTAGTAGGGTAAAAAAAAAAAAATCTCTGAAAGGCTATAAACCACTCTCTATGTCATAGAGGAGAGGGAGTAAAGGGGGTAGAAGGAACTTCTGCTATGGGCAGCTAACCCAGCATTTTAACTACAAAGTTTCCGGCACCTCCAAGCAGCTGGCACTGGCCAACTCTCGAGACAGGACACTGGGTTAAATGGGCTGATCCAGTCGGCCAGTTCCTGTGTTCCGGGGCTATTTCCATTGAGAAAAGCAGCAGCCACTGTTAGGGACCCTACAATAGCAAAGCGATCTGCACAGCATGATACCACTACTGAGAAATCCCCCAACGCTGACAGGGCATCTTACTGTATTATAGTAACAAACCATCGTGTCTACGGATGACTGACCCTACACTAACAAACCAGCGTATAGAGAAGCAATTATCAACCCTACAGTAACAAAGCCTGCTTATCTCAGTGAGTGATCTTACAGTAAATAAATAAACCCCATCCCCCAAACAGCAGACCTGATTATCATTTCACTCACAGAGTAAATCAGGAGTAAATCCATTGATTCAACTGGAGCTGCAATGGTGTGGAACCAATATAAGTGAGATCAGAATCAGGCCCTGTGAAGTAACCCAACCGTACAATAACAAACCATGTACACTGTCTGAATCGTGAGCAGCCCTGCAATAATGAAGGATGCTCAGCCTGGTGCTCCAGTTATCCCACAGCAAGGAAGAGGAAATAAACAGTGCATGCAGTCTGACAATCATGAGCAACCCGACAATAACAAACCAGCCTGTCTCTGTGCAATGGAGGAAATGTCATTGAATTAAGAGAAGAACGGGTTTAATTTGCAGGCTCTCGGGGGTGGTACACCAAGCAGCAAAATGATTCTGAACTCGGCAAAGGGCAGCACGCGTGATGTGCAATGGCAGTCTGGAGCCGTGGCATCGGAGCGCCCCTTACCTGGCTATGACAAACAGCACACAGCTGACCCCCAAGTAGGCGAGGAGAATGTACATCCAAATGTCAGCAGACAAGGGGTTGAGGAAGGAAAACACACTGGGATTGGTCCCGTTGGGCTTCCGGTACAGAATGCTGACCCCCAGTGTCATGAAAGGCTTGGAGAAGTCTATCGCTTTTTCCCGGACGTGGGTGATCGTGAGAGGAGCAACGGCCAGATCAGCTTTCTGTGCGGCAACACAGAGGTGGAGAGAGAGAGAGAGAGAAGCCATTAGAAACCAAGGCACTTCCAGCCCCATCTAAGCACGCTGCCTCCTCAGACCGGCCGCCCTCCTGGGAGCCTGAAGTCATGGTGCCCAGGGCAGGGGAGACGCCGACCGAATGCAGGGAGCAGCAGCAAGTGTTTGGTAAATTCACTCTGTTGTTTATTCCAACTTGGGGCAGGCCTGGCCTCACTCAAAGCAGAAACACACCAGCCCCTCCTCCTCTTCCCCCCCCCAACCTGAAGAAGAAAGACGATACCAGGATCTTTGGAAGCAGTTTGGGTCTCGCCTGGAGGCGTTTGGGCTAGCGCCACAGAAATCAGTTTATACCAACTGTGGATGGGGCCCAAGGGTTGCAGAATCAGGGAAGTACCAGAACTGAGCGGACGCGAAACATTGAGAGATTTGTTCTTCACGCTTTGATTCTGTTCGCCGTGAAACCCACCAGGGCCGGTCCACAGGGTCTCACGCCCACCCTGCTCAGTTACACATCCAGGAGGCGGGGGGGATTCAGACAAATCACCAGCACTCAAAGCACAGTCAGCCGAAGGGCTCAAGGCTCAGGGCAAGACCAGGTTTGGCTGGTGACAAGGGGGGGGAGAGAGACGGAGGGGGCGGGGGAGGGAGATGGAAAAAAGCACCATAGACATAAGGGGAGATGCTCTTTCCCCCAGTTCATGTACACACTGGCCCTTAGTTTATTACTACTCATTTGTATTACAGTAGCACCTAGAGGACCTGACTGAAACCAGCGTGAGAGAGAGAGTCCTTGCCCCCAAGAGTATGCAATATAAACAGCCACAGATGGGAGGGGAAACTGAGGCACCGAGAGCCGCAGTGACTTGCCCAGGTTGTCACAGAAGGTCAGTGGCAGAGGCAGGAATAGAGCCCAGGTCTCCCCACCCCCAGCCCAGGGCCCTCCCCACCAGACCACACAGCCCCTCTGTTAGGGTCACTTGGGTTCACAGCACATGTTGCCTGGAGACTAGAGCCTAAAGCTTGCTAGCTGAACAACAAACCAACCCCGGGCAGGCTCCTTCTCCCAGGGGCATGATCCTGTACGGTGCTGAGCACCTTCCAATCCCACTGCAGTTGCCATGCTGAACTGGGCCCAAACCACAGGCCAAATTTTAATCTTGGCCCCTCAGGGCAGATCAACTCCAGGATTTTCCTCTTCCTTTGCGTGAGGGATCTGTCAGGAGTACGCAGCTGCTGGAGCAAGTGGCGAAATCTTCCCCCCATGCACCTTTTCACCCGGGGAGCCTGGCCTGCCCTCTGGGTGTGTGTCCGTCCATCCGTTACCTACATCTGTTCTGGTTCTCACACCAGTGCCCAGGGAGGCCACACAGTAATCATCAATAATAATTGCCATAGCCAGAGGATCCTTCTGATGCCCTCAGGGCATCTGGGTCTTGCAATGCCCAGCACTTGGCGTGGCAAGCAGCTCATGCAGAGAGAGATATTTGTGATGCCGCTTCAACTTATTATGCTTCTATTAATCTCAACAAGGCCACGGGGAACTCCTTCCTTTTAATTATTCAATTTATCCCTGCGCTACCTCCCTGGTTCCTGCTTCTTTCTTCAGCCCCTTTGTTTTCCCCTGATGATGTTGAGAACCACCGTCTTTAGGGAAGGTCTAGGCTCCCATTAATATGGCACGGGGGTGGGGTACTGCAGCTTAGAAGCCCCAGTGATCCTGGTTGCAGCTCTTACTAAACAGCTACTGTCTTCCTCCTCGCTGGGTGTAAGCAGGGCTATGATGCTCACAGGATGGCTTGTTATAACTTCTCTGAGCCTGCAAAGTGTGTGGGGGCGGACATGGGGGCAGGGATGGGGCAGCACCACTTATGCTGGTAACCCATGAGTTTTCAGGCCTCCTAGGAAGTCTAGCTGGGGCTGAGATGCTTCCCCAGAAGGTATCTGTACCCTGATCTGTGCTCAGGGCCTGGGTCAAAGTCCCCTGAAGTCAATGAGATTCCTTCTATCAACAATGGGGTTTGCATCAGGCATCCAGATCCCAGGGCTTGGACCATATGTTAACCATGCAGATCCCAGGGGGCAGGCAGAAGGTGAGGTGGGCAGGTGTTGTAATTATAAATACCTTCCATGGATAAAAAGAAATGCAGTTGGATGGTGCAGAACCTACTTAATGCATTGGGCCAGGGTCTGGATGAGGTGACACTGGGATAAATTCATTACCTTCAAGGAAGTGGCTTCAGATGTATGCCAGCGTATCGGCAGGCAGAATTTGGTCCACCTTGTTTAATAATTATAGTCTCTAATTTTACCGCATAGCTCTTCTGTTGATCCTAGGTATATAAATACTGTGCTTACCAGCAGGAGATGTTCTGTTCTGAGGGGTTTTGACCCAGCTGTGATCTGCCCAGGAATGAGTTTGCATTTTTAATCGACTTAATTATAGATCCAGAGACAGTGTATTTTAAAATGTCCTAACCGGTGGCTGTGACCTTGCCTCCTGCAGCAACACTTACCAATCAGAGATTTCAGCGTGCTGCAAATGCCATCCTACATAGAAGGCATATTTTTTGGCCTTCATTTCAATGTTGCTTCAAGTACAGAATGTCACAGAGGGAGGCCAACCCACAAATTAAGTAGCAGGAAGTAATATTCTAGCAGCATGAGGTAGAGTGTTCATTTTCTTTCCCCACAGTCGACTTCATGATGAAACTTGATAGGTTCTCTGTGGAAACCCCAGAGAGTCAAAGAAGTAACAGATCTCTAGGACACTGGTGGGAGTGTCTCAGTGGTGAGTGTGAATAAAGGATGGGACATTTTGTACTATGCCTTTGTTCCTCACGTCTCATGTCTTACTGCAAACACCCCCAGTGAAACTCAGATCACATGGCCTAGGCACGGCCTAGTATGTACTTGGGATCATCTCTCTTTTGCTGGCTTTCTGCACAGAGGGAATTTCACTCTACTAAGTCATGTGGGTACTTATAGTTTCAATGATTGGACAGGCTGGTTTGGCAAAGCCCTAACCTTCTCTATGGGTCTGTTTGGGGTAGCATGTGTTGTTCCTTGTATGTGCGTTTAGAGTTCAAGCAGGCATATTTAAAACAAATATAAATGAATACAGTTACGCCAGCTGGCTGAATGGCAGCTAGGGAATGGCAAATCAGTTCAAATCAAATACAAACCAGCCCTGAAGCTCAAACCAAACTGAAATGGAAGCTTTGTCCAGGGCTCAGAGCAGTCCCCTTTTGATTTATTTTTGGTGCTGTCCACCTCACTCTTTCCTGGTTTTTGACTTGAAGCAGAAATATCAAGATGCCACATAAAAGGCCATTCTTGCAATATCTCCAGCTTGTCTTAGGCTGCAAGCTTTGTGGGCAGGGTCCCTCTCTATATGTTTGTACAACACTTAATATAATGGGGCTCCAGAAGGCCTCTAGGCACTACTGTCATACAAATAATGGTAATAAACAATGGGAAGAGAGATTTTCAGAAGTACCTAAGGGGTTCGGGAGCACAAATTGCACTGAATAATAATCTAACTCAGGGATCGGCAACCTTTGGCACACGGCCCCTCAGGGAAATCCACTGGCGGGCCAGGACGGTTTGTTTACCTCCAGCAGGTTCGGCCGATTGCAGCTCCCACTGGCTGTGGTTCGCCGCTCCAGGCCAATGGGGGCTACGGGAAGTGGCACGGGCCAAGGGATGTGCTGGCTGCCCTTCCCGCAGCCCCCATTGGCCTGGAACGGTGAACAGCGGCCAGTGGGAGCTGCGATCGGCCGAACCTGTGCATGCTGCAGGTAAACAAACTGTCCCAGCCCACCAGTGGATTTCCCTGATGGGCCACGTTCCAAAGGTTGCCGATCCCTGGTCTAGCTTAGCTCAAAGGTCAGGAGGCCCCATGGCAAACAGGCCAGCATGAAGCCAAAGAAATGTTTAGCTCAGCATCTCAAAATTCACCAAAACTTTGAACCTGTTGAGGTTTGTCTGTCACAAGTTCTGTTTCCTTTGGACTCCTTTTTTCTGAGCCTCAAAAAGAGGGTGAAGTTTGAAATCTTTATCCATCCATCAAGACCGAGGATGAAACCAGCAAATTCCACCTGCTACTTAAGCAGAACTTGAACTCTGGTCCTGGCAGTTTAAGGAAATCTGTTGCCATGTCAACAACCCAGATCACTCAACAGAAGCAAACGCATCATGTGCCCAAGATACAACACTCATCCTTTTCCTAGTCTCGTCTATCTAGGTTCCTAGACCACACTCATCACCCTAATATCTGAGCATCTTCCACTAGTGCATCAAGCCACGTCACTAACATCTGTCACACCAATGTGGAAACTCAGGCACACTGAGGTTGCAACAAGGCACGGCCAGCGCCTCCTCAAAGCGTTAGTAGAACAATCTCCATTCTCTGAAAGTCAGTTTACTTTCCTGGACACGCTTTATGGTCGTTGGTAACAAGTGGAAAGCAGTGTTTGTATCTTAGTATAAAATATTGTTTCGCCAACATTTCCACAGCTTCTGGCAGCTCACAAAAATCCAAAGCTTTTACAACTGATTTTTCAGTCATGTGCAAAACCTGCTACAACCCCAGCTACACTTATAGCCCAGGTCACTTAGGCACACATGGTCACATTCTTCCTCATCCTTAACACAATTTCTTGATTCAGTCTGGCATTGCCCTGGATTTTCACTTCTTTCCCCTCTCAGACTGAGTAGGACAGCCCCTTAAATGCACTCTCGTGTGCAGCTTTGCTGGCCACTTTTAAAAGACATTCCAGCAACAAACAGGTGCCTGGCAACAAGAAATTCACCCAGCAAGTTTAAGCCCCACAGGTGGAAACTGCAAAACATTCAGCTGCTCTAGATGACGAATTGATAGCATTTCCAGGGTGCACCAGACACCACAATCCTTGAGGCATCTATGTCATGTGGAAACTGAGCACATACACTGCTGTAAAACCCACCAGTAGGAAACCCAGCTGTAC